TCAGAGTGCGGTGATCGATTCTGGCTTCGATTTGTTTGCATCGTTCGCAAATGCTTTGTTTACATTCCCACCGACAGTGTCACCTCTCGGCACGTCATTCACCTCCTTCAGGGCATTGTTGTGACGCGCTGCAGCCAGTTTAATGGTACGAACCTTGCATAGGATGAGTATCAAAGTCAGACAGATTACAGTCACAAATATCAAAACGATGAGCAGTGCCAACAGAAGGTTTTGAACCTGTAAACAAACAAAAGCGTAAAGTTTTGATAAATGTTGACAGAAATTTCACTTTTATAAAATACCAAAAGACAAAAAACAAACAAAAAAAGACAAATAATATATCTGTTCATATGACAAAGTGGAAAAAGATTGTACGTGACGTGTTTCGTCCTTTTAGACTTCATCAGAGTAGAGTGACGTTTATGATAATGCTACTACACATAAACCCGAACTGAGAATTTTAAATTTAAATTTTCTGTTTTTGCTATATAATTCTACCCAGCAACTCTATTACGACCAAATTGAAAAATATATATATATATATATATATGAACTTAGCAGAGACTAATTCTAAAGCAATTTAAAAAAAGTAATACAAAATAAAATAATAAGTTAAAAATTGAAAGGAATTTGCTCTAATAAATGCCACAAGTGTAAATAATTTATTATACAATATATACTGCGTTTTCTGTCAATTTTGTATAAAAGTGCGTTGAGGCTAGTCTGAACTATAATCTTCATGAGTTCTTTTTAACGCAGTTGTTTAGGAGAGTGGTCTATTATAAGAATAACTGGAGCTGAAGGTTGGCACACAAGGCAATATATGATCAATATCGATTGGTTTGGCGTGCAAAACGGGGTATAGCATCGTACGACCCGAAACCCCTAATGATCCCCGGTTAGAAACATCACTGCCAGAACATCTGAGATCTATCTATCTATCTATCTATCTATCTCTATAAATATATATATATATATATATATATATATATATATATATATATATATATATATATATATCGCGAATCAAAATACAAGGGTTTGTTGTAGTGGGTTTTGTTGAATTCGACGGAGAGCGTCAGCAAAGGAAGACCGTACACCAACTAACAAGACTTTGTACTGTCTCATAAAGCCAAGATGATCCGCGAATACATGGGTTACTTGATCATGTCACCCGAAGCATATAAAACTCCTAGCTCTCCAGACCTGAATCCGTTGGACTATAACGTATTGCGAAGTCGTGAGGAAAGTCAATCACCGCCCACATAACACTATATTTCACATGTTAATACTTCCTATGTCCATTCCACGAAGTCGTTCCTTGAAGATTGACCACACATTCTCGATTGAATTTAAATCCTGAGAGTTTCCGGGCCAGTCTATAGTACTTTGATTTGCTCAATGGTAAGGCTTGCTAATGTGTTCGTGTATTGCTACAATTTTCGTATGCTTCCTTCGAGTAAGGGTCATCGCAGACAATGGCTGCAGGACAACTAATCGACAGTCGAGGCAATAGTGTCTGGGTGTGGTGAAAATCTGATGCAATCACGGATGATGCAATATTTTTCAAGGCCAAATTTTATCATACACCCTGAAAAGATTCATATTACTGCATACCACTTCAAATGACGTAATGTGAGGAAAAAAAACAAAAAAAAACGATTACACCCTGTTACTCCAGTGGGTCTAAAACTGAGCGAATGGTGAAAGAAAGGAAACTAAAGCGATTTTTTCAATTAATTTGCATAAGGAAGTAAATAAAGATTATGCGATTCGTGCGTATCAACATCTCAGAAATTGTATTGATGCGGACATCGACGCTAACGGGGGAGGTATTAAATAGAGATGACGGGATCAGTCTCAAGTTCATTCATGACAATTTTGTCTTAAGTAAAGCTCTTTTATTACTTAGACGTCTTTTCGTAAATTCATGCAAATGTCCTCAAAGAAAAGAGAAACCCTGTACTCTCAAGTATCGATTAGGTTCGTCCAGTTGCACCCCCGGGGGGTTGTTCTGAGTTAGATTAAACCATTTTAGGAGGCAGTTCATCTGCACCTTTATGTTGACCGTTGGAAATTATGGCCAAAGAAAAAAATTAGCAAAGAAAATACATCACGCACACATACACACACACAAGCACATTTGCTTATACAAAAACACATACCCATGCTACATACACACACGTGTACAAACATACACATACAAGCAGACACCTCTGCACACAAATGTCATGAAAACACTCCAACGAGTGCACAGGATGATCGCCTCGTGATGACTTGGGGCCATGACAAGTTTCGGGTCTTGCAACATCATACTTGTTCGCCCAAGAGACCTTACCGAAACAGTGCTATTCCGGCAGGCGATCCTGAAGCAAAATATCCGCCAAGCAAGCAACAAATGCACAAATTAAGTAACTGCCACTACTGATCTTGAAATTGCAAGCGACCAATCATGAACGACATACGTCACTTCCTCCTCAGCCAAGACTGCATATGTGCGCACAATTTAAAGCACAAATATTTACAAGGTACGATGGGTAAATTGTCACTTTAAATTTAAATTGTCACTTTAAATTTAAATTGTCATTTTAAATTTTGCGCAAATGCGCTGTTTTATTTTTTATTTTATCGGCGGGACAGTATAGTAAGATCGGTAGGGCACTGTCTGTGAGCAAAAAGATCACCATAACGCAATTCGCTCCATCAGGAATTTGGAAATGGCATGCTGTACTACTGTGCATTGGAGCCGGAAGCTCCAATACAAACATTTCAGAGTGTCTGGGTGTCAATTTGAGGCCAGTGCAAAGGGTTCGATAAGACTTGGATGAGTCTGATGACGATTACGGAGATGTTTGGAGTAATCACTAGTGATGGAGACGTTATGCCTCCATTCCTCTTCCCACATAGCCTCAGGGGCAACACGGATGCCTACATCAAGTGCCTTGATGAGGTGGTGCTGCCCTGGGTAAAGAGGATAGCTTCAGGAAGGCCGTATATCTCGAAACAGGATTCTGTCTCATGCCACACAACCAGGAAAACACAGCCATGATTATCAGACAATTTCTGCGACCACATCACCCCTCGTATCTGGCCACCTAACTCCATAACATGCAAACCCTTTGATTATCATGTGTGCGGCGCAGTTGAGCGAAAGACCAACAAAACTCCTAGTAAGACCATAGATGAACTGAAGGCAAGGATTATGGCTGTATTCACCAATTTAAACAAGGACTGTCCAGAAGAGTTACAGAAGATTCCGAAGTCGTCTGGAGTCCGTGGTTGAAGCCAATGGCAATTTTATTGAATAAATTTACTATTTACTATTTCATGATATTTTTGTGTAATTTTGGTAATATATATATCTGTTAGAATAAGATGTCAGTGTTATTTTCATTTTTGTAATTTAGACGACAATTTATGCATCGTGCCCCGTGTGTATGTGTATGCATGTGTGTGTTGGGTGGGGTAAACATAGTGTTTTATTAAATTGGGCAGGGTTACTCTATTAAAAGAAAATGCATTTAAAGAATGGAATGAAGAAAGATGAAAGAAAATTTGAAAATCTGAATAATTTCAGAAGGTCGCCGATGGGCAAAAAAAAAGTTCCGGGCCTTATTTAAAGAAAAAAAAAAGGAAGAAAAATAGCGAATGAATTCACAGAGGAGTAAATATACGTTTACGCTGGAATCTTTTGCACACACATAAGAAAAAGAAAAATGAGACATTCTTAATGTAAATAATTTAAAAATAAAATAATTACCGCGTTTTCTGACATTCCCCATGCAACTGGAAAAAAAAAAAAAAAAAAAAAAAAACTTTTGTTTAAAGTTTTAAAACGATCAAGTAATGGTTTTGTGAGCACGTGACCAATCATCAAGAAAGAGGCGAGGAAAGAAAAGTAGAAGCAACTCAAGAAAATAAACAGACAAAAGGAAATATTTCAAACAAAAACAAAGTAAATGGAAAATAAAAAACAAAATACATGCGATCGTCCAGTACACACACACACACACACACACACACACACACACACACACACAAACTGGTAATTGTTGACACGTTTCGTTCAATGTGGACTTTATCAAAGCAAAATACGAAAATGAAATTAATTGAACAAAGTAACTAATAAAAACAAAAACAATTAATTTCATTTTCATATTTTGCTTTGATAAAATCCACATTGGACGAAACGCGTCAGCAATTACCAGTTTTCCTATTGTCATTTTATTCATAAATATATATAAAATATATAAATATATAATTAAAATATATATATATATATATATATATATATATATATACATATATATATATACATATATATAATAAAATATAGTTTTAACATATACTATATTTATGGATAAGTGCCCAATATCAGAGAGAGAGAGAGAGAGAGAGAGAGAGAGAGAGAGTATCTAAGTATAAAAGTGGACAGTGATATCAACTTCTGATGCGTAATAAAAAAAAAAATCGTTTTAAGACTCCTGCTATTATTTGTTTTGCAAACAATATTTTTAAGGCTTCCGGTAAAAAAAATGGCGTAAAATATGGAAGTTAATCAGGAGTTAATAAATGCAAGATGTTAAAAAAGAAGAAACAAAATTTCTAAAGAAAAAAAAATGGCTGACATTTTGACAAATAAAATTACGGAAGCAAAAATATAAAAGTAATTAAAAAATTCAACGCACACTTACTGCTCCCACTGTCATGATGGTGCTCACTGCCAGTCGTTGTCATCATATGTCTGTTCATACTGACTTCTTGAGGTTTCGAGTTTATCTTCATTAGTTTGGGTATGAGTTCGTTCCAGAATATTCTGTCACTTTCACGAAGTCGCTGCTTCACGTTATCCGCCGTCATGTTTACATTCAATTCCACGTACGTTCGATTCGTCTTCTCGTAAGGGGGCCATTTGACACCGTTGGGTAGCTGCGGTACCCTGAATAAGAGTTTACTTCAAATGAACACAAGTACACAAATAAAAATAAAAAAATTGGCTTCTATAGGATATCTCGTAAATGTCGTGTTCCCACTTCTAAACAGGAGATAGATAGATAGATAGATAGATAGATAGATAGAGAACAGAATGAGATAGATAGATAGATAGATAGATAAAGAACAGAATGAGATAGATAAATAGATAGATAGATAAAGAACAGAGTGAGATAGATAGATAGATAGATAGATAGATGAGAACTGATTGTGATAGTAGAAGATAAATAAGAACAGATTGCGATAGATAGATAGATAGATAGATAGATAGATAGATTGAGATTGATAGATGAGAACAGATTGAGATAGATAGATAGATAGATAGATAGATAGATAGATAGATAAGAATAGATTGAGATAGATAGATAAGAATATATTGAGATAGATAGATAGATAGATAGATAGATAAGAATAAATTGCGATAGATAGATAGATAGATAGATAGATAGATAGATAGGAACAGGTTGAGATTGACAGATGAGAACAGATTGCGATTGAAAAATAGAAGATACAGAATAAATATTAACAACTTTTTTACAAGAGTTCACAATTTTATTATTTTTCTTTTATCATGAGAAAGACAAGCTTAGCAGAAAAATACGATTATTTAAGCATACACACACGCATTTCTTTTGTTTTTGATCTGATAGAGACTAGTACGGGTGATGCATAATCTAGTTTCAATTAAATAGTTTTCCATATTCTGTCTGTCTATCTATCTATCTATCTATCTATATATATATATATATATATATATATATATGTGTGTGTGTGTGTGTGTGTGTGTGTGTGTGTGTATTGTAACCTAGTTAAGGTTACTGAATAGAATAATAACACGATAATACTCAGGACAAGAACAACACATATAGGATTCGCCAGCGGTGCGTAGAATAAGTAGTCACAGCTACAAGTGAGTCATCTGAATTCCGCAATCAATCTCCAACTGCAGGATATCTACCAACCGCCCCACACGGTGAGATGTGGGGTATCCGAGCCCGTAGGCTCGACCCAAAATTCCCCGTAGACCCCGTACAAAATGGGATCGGGTAGCTGTTTTCCGAGTCGAGACTCTGCCCTTCGACATAGCCTCATCTCGGGGTCCCAGATCCAGAGACGAGGCTATGTCGAAGGGCAGAGTCTCGTCTCGGGATCCTCTCTGCCCGGAAGCAGAGAGTTTGACAAGCACAGCTGGAGACGAATTTCCAACTGCAGACTACCATACAGTATTTACTACTGTATTTATGTGAATGGGGACAGAGCATAGTTATGCTACAACAATATATATATATATATATATATATATATATATATATATATATATATTAAAGACGACTGACAAGATTTTTCTTGAATCTTTTTTGCTTACTTACAAGTATTTTTTCCGGACATAAGATCTGTAAAAACTGTCCAAATTCTCTGTATATCCAAGCGCTTTCGTCTATTCTATTAACCATTGTCACGAAAAAATAATAGAAGCATTAATAATAAAAAAAGGAAATGCCAAAAATCGATAATATCAACTACAGCCGCAACGTGCTGACCATGCTTAGAAAATGACAAAACATTCCCATCACTATAGATACATATATATATATAAATCTTCTTTGTTTAAAATACGTTAAATGCTAGTAACCTGTACATATTTTGATAGGTGTCATTGAGCATGTATATTTGGATGTATTAATGGTTGGATGGTGGGACGTGTAGGTGGTGTAACCCAGTAATGGGTTTAATAGTAAAGTAGACTGGAATCTTTAGCTGTCATTGGCAATCAGTCTAGGTTAAAGACATTCAAAACCGTAACCATCGATTAAACTTTCAATATTGGTCATATTCGACTACCGTATCGACAACTATCATGTATATATATATCATTGATTGATCTCAAATACAGTGTATCTATAAAGTTCGTGTGCACTTTAAAAAATTTATAACTTTATTTATATTTTCGATAGAAATAATTTATAAAAAGGATTAGAAAGAAGTAATTATATAATTTTAAGGTTTTATTGAAATTTTATTTAAGTTTTCACATGTTCTCCATCATTAGCAATACAAAGGGTAATACGATTTTGCAGTTCCCGGAAAATATTTGCCGACTGATTTACAGTAATGCCTGAAATCACATTAGTTATTTTAGCCATACTTAAAACTAGGTACATTAAACTTTATAACATTTTTTACAGATTATTTCTATCGCAAATACAAATAAAGTTATAAATTTTTTGAAGAGCACACGAACTTTATGGACACCCTGTATTGTTATACTGAAATCGTTACATGTTATTAATAACAGTTTGTTTCAAGTTCCCTCATTCAAAAGCATTGTTTTTTTATTCTGTTTTGACAGCTATTGTACAAACGAGCTTTTAATAATCTTTGACAATTGGCGGCTCTTTTCTTCTCTGTTTATTGATTTTGACATTGAATAGGAAAAATAAGCCACATTTTCACGATATATCTCTTTTATTTTACAAAATTGCATATTTGTGTTATTTTTGGAGAAGGTTATGTGAATGCACAAACATGTCAAAAATGGTTTGTGAAGTTTTGTGCTGGAGAATTTCTATTGATTGATGCTCCACAGTGAATTAAATCAGAAAGAGTCGGTATCAAATCAAAACAAGACATAAATATAAAAAAATAATGAGTAACAATCATACTGAAAATATCCAAAATGAAACGTTGGAAATTATTCACAATAACTTAGTTATGTTAATTGCTTTAAATTATGATCTCCACGTCGGCGAATGCCCAATCCGCCAAAAAGAAAAACCTACTGAAAAATATTTAAATCTTCTGCTTCTAAAGAAATGTGATCTAGCAAAAATGTGGAACGCAAGAGGTAGTCAGAAAAGTCACTTACCATTAACCGTATAAAAGAATTTGATGCTGTGTGACACCTACATGAAGGACGAAAGTGTGATTCTATTTTGAGCTCAAGTTTTATGGCTGACGGATGGAATCTTTGAATTCGTGTCTTTCAGCGGCCACTACTTGACCGAAATGGGGAAAAAAGGAAATAAAGAAAGCTTTTGGGGTCAAGTGACAATAAAGCCGGACCTAGATGATTTCCGGTCAATGGTCTATATTAACAGTAATGCCTGTGATTGATAAAAGGTCAGTTATTGTTCGCCTTTAGCGGGGCACAGACTGTTTCTCAGATAGTTCCTAAGCTGTCCGTTCGTATTCCAGCCACACATAGTGATTATCAAATGGGTAGAAATTGTCTCTAGTACTGTCTAACTACACACCCAGCCTGATCAAATAATAAAGATAATGAATAGATTTTTAGATTAAGTTTTGAACCGTTGTATCTTGATTAAAGATATCTTACTGGAATTCTCCAAGGTTTTATAAAACTATTGAATTCTACTTTGAACAATAAAAATGATGACCTCTCTCTCTTTCTCTCTCTTTATATAAAAACCTAGAAAAAAACAATTAGTTTAGAACTTTTAGATTAGAACTTTTAGATATTAAACATTTTGTGGAATGGAGAATTATCTTAATCTGTTGCATGATTTGGGCAATTTTGCTATTACGCCCGGTATAGCAGAATCATATGTGGCAGCAATATTCAAAGCCTAGATGAATGGTAGACTTATAAATATACAAGATAGATTCTGGAGAGCAAAATTGTCTAGCACAACACATTGAACCAACTTTCTTAGCAGCAAACGTAGCAATTAATCTAATATAATTTTTCCATTTCATGTCAGCCGACAATGTTAGCCTGAGAAGTAACAATGAGTCATCCAGGTTAGCTGGTGGGAAACAGAAAGGGTTCTCACCGATGATTAATTGTTCCAGTTGACAACAGATTGGAGGTCATTTTTTAGATTAGTTGCCAATTTATCTAAACAAGAGTAAATCGTCATATCGTCAGCATTGATACCGAGTTGATGTTGCAGTGGTGGTTAAGAACGAATAGAAAACTTTGGATTTGATCAAAGACTGCGCAAATGACAACTGCAAAAGAAATCATCCTTAGGAAAGAAAGAAAACCAAAAGAACAAAAAATGGATGACAGGTGAAATTATTGAACTAATGGAGATAACAGATAATAGCAAGAAATGGTGCAAAATATCTGATGTTAAAGAAATAACATTGGAAATAAATGCAAGTGAGGAAAACAGGCTTAATGATAAATGCGTAGAGATCTAAAAACTGCAGGACACAGATGCGACAGGAATGGTCAAAATGGAATATGGAAAAATGTACACTTTTTTTTAGGATTTATAATATCTGAAGACATAATAAACATACATAGACAATGAGGAAAGATGATTTGAAGAATTTAACACTCACAGGACATTGAAGGCAAGCAAAGCAATGTGGAAACCATAAATAGCATTTTAATAGATTTGAATGGATGGCAGAATAGAAATAAAGAGGGATGGTAAAGAATAAAAAAAAAACAACAAAAGCAGGAAGCTGTGGAGAATCATCATTGCTCATGCCCAGAAAGCAATTATTAAAGTAACAGTAGCAAAAGAAATCATCCCAAGAAAAGAAAAAGAAGAAATTGTTGAAATTATGAAACTAATGAAAGTGACAGCAAAGAACACCTAGAAATGGCACAGAAATAAATGCAAGCGAGGAAAAGAGGAATGGCTTCATGAGAAATTGACAAGGACTGAAAAACTACAGAACATAGTAGATATGTGCAAAAGGACCAACGAAATAGGAGAAAAAAATTGCTCTTTGGTTGGATGTATAACATCTAATGCAGGAAAAATCATAAAAGAAAAGTCACTAGAAAGATAGAATATATAAATTACTTCCTTGATAAAGGTAGCGAAAACCTACATTATATAATAGCATTGAGGGATCATTTATATTAAAATCTGATACTTGGCTAGCACTGGCCAGTGTATGAAGCACAAAGAAGCAGAATCTGACTAAAAAAGGAAGTGGATATCAGGTGAAATTATCGGACTAATGAAAGAAAAAAAAAAAGCAGATAACAACAAAAAAATAGTGAAGAACGTAGACGCAACAGTATTTGGATTCAGACTAAAGACAACATCCTTGGTGATAATTGCTCAAATTTTCAGCCCTTGAGCCCTGAAAATTACCAAGATTGATAGATACCTGAAAAAGTTCAGAGGACACAATGGATGAAATATATATATATATATATATATATATATATATATATATATATATATATATATATATATAAAGACATTTGAATGTAAACAATCAAATAACAACGATTTCTCATCCCAGAAATTCAGGTAGAAACTATAGCGTTGGTAGGTATACACAAAAAGCTAAAAGAAATTGAGAAAAATGGTCGGATATATAAAGTCTAGAAAGGGAATGTTCTAGACATAGTCGGATGTATAAAGTCTAGAAGGGGAATATTCTAGCCATAGTCGGATGTATAAAATCCAGAAAGGGAATCTTCTAGACATATCTAGAACATTCCCTTTCTAGATTTTATATAATCTAGAAAGGGAATGTTCTAGACATAGTCGGATGTATAAAGTCTAGAAAGGGAATATTCTAGATATAGTCGGATGTATAAAAGAAAGTTAATATTCATAACAGAAAAAGAAAACAGAATGCAAAGATGGAATAAATACGTAAGAGATGAAGAGAAACAATGCAGCAGAGATAGAGATACTGATAGCCTTTGATATATGACAATGGTGAAATACTGGAAGACCTTAGTAGATAAATATTCATAATACTACCAAAGGAAGCAAGCGTAAATGATTGTGAACATTATAAGACAATCAGCCAGGCACCTCTAGTCGGGGTAATTGTTAGCAAGCTTGTCACGCTAGAACAATTACGACTGAGTAGTGAGTTCAATCCTCACTGGGTGCCTCCTACTTTCGGCCTTGTGTCATATCTAAGCTAGGCTTGGAAAAATATCAGACAATCAGCTAGATAACCCACATAGCTAAACAAATTAGAATTGTAATGGATAGAGTGCAGAGCAGTATTAACATAGAAATATAGCAAATACTATTAGTTTTGTTCAAGACACTGGAACAAGAAATGCAATTTTTATAATACGTATGTTGCCATGGCAAGCAAGAGAAATGCAGAAATATCTATACTTACGTTTTATAGATAAGCAAATTTATTATAGATATATAATTATATTTACAATTTAGAGCCTCTTGGCTTTATTGCCTTGTTTGAAATAAAATAATTTAAAAAAAGATAATAAAAAGTACTTCATAAAGTATAATATAATATGCAGAACTCCTTTAAATGGAAGGAAAACGTGATTTTCATGGCAGAATTCATTATTGGTAGTCAGAGATTTAACAACCTATTAAGGTCAATCTGAAAGAACTCAGCCTCATCCAGAAAGAAGAGCCCTAACTGAATATTTTTGTTGTGGCATTACACATTACCACGTCTTATAAAACTAGAAAGACTAATTCAGATTTACATCTTAATTCCTTGGCAGGTTAGGCCTATACAAATGCAAGACGTGTGTGACAAATCTAAAAATGGACAAAACAAAGGCTCTAGCAGTCATAAAATATCTGAAAAAGAAAGATATGACACCCCCAGAAAATCCACGAGGTCGTGGTACAGACACTTGCTGAAGACTCCCCTTGCTATGCAACTGTTAAGAAATGGGCGGCGGAATTCAAGCAGGGTAGGGACAGCACAGAAGGTGACCCTCGGTCAGGTCGTCCAAGGACCTCAATCACTGATAAACAAATTGATGCCATTCGCCGTATGGTTTTGGATAACAGACCTCTTACTCTTCAGCAGATAACTAAGTCCATAGGCATTAGTTCTGGCTCGGTCCATAATTAGATCGAAAATAGGACAAGACAAGTGCGGGTGCGTTAAA